TATGATCTCAGGGACACTGAATTTGGGGGTGGGGGTAGAGCTCGGGGGTAGAGTCTGTGCTTAGCACACATACAGTCCCGGGTTCAATCCCCAATACCGCCATTAAAAAAAAAAATCTAAGAAAAAGAATCAAGGCTGAATTTATTAACTACGTCCCTTTGAGATCCCTTTAAAACTTTGAATTTGTTAGATTCTTAATCTTTCTAAATTTTTATATTACTGAAAAATTTAATTTTCAGTTAGAATGCCTTATTTGTTGAACTATCTTAAGTAAGTATATAAGATCTCCCAAATGTCTGAATTTCTTAAAAACTATTTATACCATGAATTTATCATTTTACTGACCACACATACAAATGTGAGTATATTTCTACGTTAGAATTTTGGTTTCCATTTAAATCTTCTTTGGAAGGGCCCATTTTTAATCTTCGTGAAATGGAGAATAATTTTCTTAGTTTTTTTAAAATGCTAGTCTTTTCAATTAGAAACATTAAAGTTAAAATGACATTCTGGATGTTAACTCATCTAAAAAATTGTCGTAATGTGACTGAACCTTTTCACTGGATAGTTTTTCCTTAACCCTGTCAAGCTACGAGAGTGGTTAGGCCCGGAGAGTGTTAGAAACAATCAGCGTGTAGTTGGGTACACAGGCTGACTTGCAGCCTACCCGGACCCCTGACGACAGTGCGTAAGCAGAATAGGGTCTGAGTTTACCACACAGTTTAGTTTTTTTACTCAGTCAAGTTGCAGTTTCGAAGCAGTTTTTGAAATACCCAATTAATGTCCTTTTGGCACTTTTAATAAAATTAATCTTAAGCACCCCCCTTTCTTTTTGGAGAACTTTCTATAACAATTAAGTGCCACTTTTGCTCATTTGTTTTATGTGCTTTCATTTAAACAATACTTTAAAAATACTTTAATAACCAGCTGCTGGAATTGCATGTGACATAAGACTGTTGTTTAAATCTGATTTCTCAGGCTTTCATTTCCATTTATAACTTAAATAGGAGCGTTTTAAATGTGCACCATGCACTCCTCCTGAGCCAGGCGTTGGGCCACGCTCTCTAGCAGCAGGGCAGCGTGGACACGAGGGATGCTCTGGGTCCGTGCTGTCCGGCATGCTGGGCACCAGCCACGTGTGACTCTCAAAGGCTTGAAATGCGGCAAGTGCCACTGAGGAATGGAGTTTTCGATTTTATTTGTTTTGATTAATTTAAACCGAAGCAGCTGCATGTGGCCAGTAGTGGCTGTGTTGGCCAGCATAGCTCTCCAGCGTGCTGTGTTAGGGCTCGGTCCCGTCCTGAGAGCCAGCTGCAGCACAGCCTGCGACTTCGCAGGTTCCGTTCCCCCGAGTGAAGATTCACCATCTGTAGCTATTATTTGGTCCTTTTTGAAATTTTAGCAGCCTAGAATTCTTACCTTACAGTACTTAAGTGCAGTAGAAATGTCTGGAAATAGACTTTAACAGAATTCTACATCCCTATTTATTGTTAAGGGTGGGGAAAAAAAAGACTATTAGGTAACTCAGAAAAACAGAATGACTGAAGCCACTTAAAATGGAATTAACTTTTACCAAACTGATAGGACAGAGTATGTTTATGTGCAGCTCTGATCTGCGGGTGACATTCCACATTTAGCGTCTCGATTCTATTTTTACTAGGCTGTTAGTTTCTGTTCCTGAAACTACAGCTACTGATGAAGGGCAGGAGCTGTGCCTGAAAGCACGTGGGTAGAGAGGGAAGCAAGTAGCTCAGTAGCCAGAAAAGGGGCACGTCTGACAGTCTCCCAATTGGCTTATGAGACAATAAACTCATTTTTATATATTAAAAAAAAAAGCCGTTCCTTTGCTGTATAGGTGGGACTCTGTATCAAGATAATTACTCAGTTGATCGAGTCCCTAGTTCAAGTACTGCTGAACTTTTTTGCTGAAGTTCGAACTTAATAAAACTGGGAAACCTACAGCCTCAAGTCTTTTTGGTTCCCAAGTTCTTCAGGGTTGGCAGGGCCCTGCTGCCAGTTAGTTTCAGACGTTACTGGCCATTGTAAACTCTTGGCCACTTGAACACTTTGGCAGTGTGAGGAGAAGAACAAATTCAGGAACTCTGAGAAAGACTTCGGTCTAGGCGAGGAGGAAGGTGGAGGCCGAGGCCAGGGGGCCAGGAAGACTTGAGCCAGGTGGCAGGCGCCTGGGCTTCCACAGCACTGCACCAGGGATTTGATGGTACATTTAAACTCCTCTTCAGCTGTTTTCAACTCAGATTTAAAATAGCTGTTATTTATTTTGTTGCTGGAGCCTGGGTTCGGTCATATTGCTGATCAGTTCTTTGCAGTGAATCTGGCCTAGAATGGAAGGAGGGATATTTACAGTCTACAAGAACACTTTGGTTCCTATCATAACAACAACAAAAAATGGCCAGAATTGATGGTAACTTGTCAGGATTTGCATCAGCTGAGAGATGTGACTGAGCAAATACGGAACCCAAATAATAGATCACATTACTTTCATAAATGTATGGATTAAAGACAAAAATATCGTACAGCTCAAATGTTATGCTTTCCTTATTTTTCCTCTACCGTGGAGGAGGGCACGTTCCTGGACACGTATGTGCACTTACACAAGTGTAGCTGGTATTTCCTGAACCAGCCTGATAAACGCAGTTGTGGCCTCCTGCAAGGTGGGTTAGGATAAGCTCCTGCCTTGAAAAATGTTAACTGATGCTTGTACGTAAGGATAGACTTACGTATTTTCTCAGAATATGTAGCTGTTTTGCTTACTGGTTTAGCTCAGTGTGTCCCTTCTTTCCCTTCTCCTCGTTTTGAGCTTTTGAATTTTTTACCTCTGCGAGAATCAGATATTAAGTAGAAATATTTTTTTAATTTACATTTACAATCATTTACAAGTAACTTGGTTTAAAATCATTTGATACCTCTCGACTTTCTCATTTTTCTTCATCTCAGTGTTGCGAGATGTCTAACTTTTCATTTCCATAGCAGCACTGATAAGACTGCTCTTTGGTGCAGTTCATGTAGGGTCAAGTAGCAGAAAGCCAAGGCAAAACCTTCTGGTTTAAGCTTACAGTTCTGCCCCACAAACATCTGTCTCTTCCAGCCCCCATTTCTATGTAAGATGAGACACACACAGACTTCCCAGGTGTTTAGGATTTGTATTCATTTTCGGGGAATTTTATGAAAAGTCCTGTGTTGGACGAGGGACCGAATGGGTCCTCTTGAACAAGATAAGACACACACACAGCTGTTCGAGAAACAGCTATACAATATTTGTAGGAAACTATTAAACAAAACTATTGGTCTGATCTGAGAACAATGCAGGTCGGTATAATTTAGGGTCTGTTTTTCATGTAGGCTCGCTTTAACTTTAATGAGGAGGAGGTTATCCTCATTCAGCTGCGCAGATGATGGAAACCGAATGCAACTCTAAAATTACCCATGACTAAAGTTGGTAGGACAGTTGAGTAGGAGTTTTGAGGAGTACTAGTTTAGCCTCTGCCGTTGTGAAAAGAGATATAGTTGCTAGAAGAGAGCGTGAAATGATAGAATTCGCTGTCCGTGTAACTTGATTTTTTTCCTTTCTGGTACTGGGAAGGAACGTGAGCTCTGCATCGTCCAGTAGCAGCCTTTCACAGGAGCAAGTCTGGCTGATTACAAATAACCAGTTTGCTTATTTATCATGAATTGTGGAAGACACAAATGTCAGTACGTATTGTTCATTCAACGTAACCTGTGCCAGTAGGCGGAACCTCGGAGGATGCTTTTGTCCTTCCCTCTGTCGGAGCAGTGACTGTGTTGAGCCTGTCCCTTCTGTGCATGAATGGAGAGATTGGGCCTCACCGTTCTGAACAGTCTCACAGGCATGAACGTTTATAATTCACCAAAGATCTCTCGAGTGTTGTCTGGAAAAATGTTTTTGTTTTGTTCTCTGAGTAATAGAAGGCTAATATTAGTGGCTTGTTGAAGTACTAACCATAATCAAATTAAAGGCATCAAGGCACAAGGCAGATATGTATTAGTGACTCAAAAGAGTAAAATTTGGGACATAGTCTTTTTTGAATCCAGAAAACAAAATGTTATCTTCCCTGTTTTCTAGTAACCCCAGTTTATTTAAAAATTCAGTCACAGAGCAGCCCGCAGATAGTAAACTGTTGGCTACTGAGAAGCTGGCTACTGACAGCATTTCCCTCCAGAACTGAGGCGGTGGGACCCGTGCTTCTGCGTGCTGAGCCCTGCTCTGTCCCGAACAGCTGGGGACACATCCCTGCTGGCTGAACACGGTGGATTCGAGACTTTTCCTCATTGTGTTAGGGTCATTGTGAGTTTCAGTTATTTTGTTTACTCTGCTTAACAACAACAACAAAACCCTTGCACCTGGAGTATGATATCATTATTTCTAAAGTAGGCTGAACTACCCTGTCAGGAGTAAAACATATTTCTAGTATTGTATGTTCCCATTTGGTCTCACCTAGTATTTCTTCAGTTAAGACTCTCCAAAGACAGTTGCCAAATTACTGTCTATAGTCCTTCCATATCTGCTTTGGTGCCTCATTTTGATAACTAAATAAACCACAGACTACCGTGTCTAATTTTGACATATGCAAAGTGTCTTTGTCTTGCTGGTCTTAAATGTTTGGGATTTATAGCATGAAGCCAATACAGATTTCTGGTCCCTGGAACGCTGGTGTGACCGCAGCCCGCCCTCCTGGGAAGGAATGTCTGTTGGGTGGCATGAAGGGCACCTGGGGGTAATGTACCACCTTAGCTGTCTGTGCATGTGTTCTCTGCTGCAGGCTTGCCCATGCGGTCGTGCCTGGAGCACTCTGGTTTCCAGGTGACAGACACGATTCACGGTATAGTATGAGTCCTCTGAAGTTGGAGCATTCTCTACAGCTTTAATTTCTTTCTTTTAGTTCTTGGTTTCAAGAAATGTTTCTTTAAAGAGAAAGTCGTGATGCTTTCGTTAAGTAGCACCAGCTACAGTTTGTGTGTGTTTAAGATGTAAGTGGTTAAGATTTCAGAATGTTATGTAGTAAATATATCACCTTTTGTTTTGGGTTTTTTTTTTTCTGTTTTATTTTTTTGTCCAAGGCAAATCAGACTTCTTTCTTCTGTTTCCTCAGTAGAAAATGACAAACGTTCAGTAATTTTAGAAATTGATGGGCCCTCAACTTGAAAATTCGTAAGGAATATTTAGCCTCTTCTTCCTTCTTACCACTTTCAGCATTAAGGAAACACTATGCAAGTATTGATATTTGGGTTAGAGTTAGAAAGACAGTTTCCTCTTTGTCTTTAGCGTTTAGTGTCCTCCCCCACCCTGTACCTCCGTGGCACGGCTCGGTCCTGGAAGCAAACACAGGCCGGAGGAGCGAGGGCGCTCTGCCTGGAAGCGCGCTGCTTGCAAGTCAGCCCCTGGGATGCTTACACCCAAGGTGCTCGGAAGCCTTTGGAGTCTTGGGGCGGAAGGTTACCCTGGGTCAGACAAATTTTGAGACAGCCCTGAAAGGAGCCTTCTTTACCTGGGCTTCCTCTCACCTGCCCTTCTACTAGACTGTGTCTGCCTAGAGCCTTTAGAAGTCCTAGGCTCCTGTTGCTGTTCATCAGGGCATCGATTTTGCAGAGTCCAACAGGGTCACGTTGTTTTAGGTTGTTCTTTGGGTAGGTCGCATAAGCTCTAGAGACTCACATAAAATGTTAGAAATCACTTGTCTGTTTCATCTCACAAATATGGTTTTATTAAAGTAGTTTAATCATGAAACCAGTTCCCTCATCATTAGCAGAATCTTTTATTTAAACCTATTGAAATGATGAGAGTTTACTTGGCTTAAACAAATTTAAAGAAATAAACCTGTTATATTGTGGAAGATCACCTGTAACTTACTTTTTTCATAGTCTTCTTTAAAGTACAAAAGCCTTTAAATGCAATTTTGTCAGAAAAGAAACATTTGAAAACTTGCACCAAATATATTTATTGTGAAAGTAACATCTACTTTAAAACACCTTTTAAAGTAAAAAGTGAAAGTCCTCTATTTGCTCATCTTATGTCCCAGCTAATAGAATTAGGCTTTTAGGAATTTAGATTTTAAATTTAAAAGTGATTGGTCGGGGGGAGGGAATAGCTCAAGTGGTAGAGCACCTGCTCAGCATGCATGGGGTCCTGGGTTCAATCCCCAGGCCCTCCTCTAAAAATAAACAAACCTAATTACCCTACCCCTGCCAAAATAAAATAATTAAGTAATACAGTAATAAATAAAGTATTAAAAAAGTGGTCAATCAAAAATATGTTTCAGCTTTAAAAATCTTCTATAACTTTAAAACAATATGTAAGCCATATCCCCTTTATTATTGCTACCACTTTAGCCTGTTTATTTTCTACATCGCATTCTAATGAAACTCAAGGATTATAATGAATACTTGCAGATTCTCTTGAAGCCAAGCCTGAAATAGGAAGAAAAGAACAGGGAAGGTGCGAGGAGGTCAGTGGCAATATATTTTTAATCATCATTGGGTTTCTTCTTTTTTGTTTTTGTATCCTGTTTCTAGCCTACAATTCACTTATTTATTTAAAGCGTACAGTTCAGTGGGTTTTAGTATACTCATAGAATTGGATGTCTTCTTAAGCATACCTGATGCATTCTGACTTCTCAGGTCTTAAAGCTGCAGTGTGTAAGAAATGTTTTATTACCGAGAATTTCAGATGCATCCAAAAGTTGACCAGAAGAGTGTAATGAGCCCTGAGGGCCCACTGCCCGTCTTTCTCTCCCACCCACCTTCTCTCATCTTTACCCTCATTCATTCTCCAGGGTTATTCTGAAGCAAGTCCCAGACATCATATTTCTTCCATGAAGGTTTTCAATCTGTCTCTATTTAAGCTGATTTAAAAAAAAACATAATGGAGCGGGAGGATATAGCTCTGCAGTAGAGCACATGCCTAGCACGCACATGGTCCTGGCTTCAATCCCCAGTACCTCCATTTAAAAACATAATGAATGATTGAATAAACCTAATTACCCCCCCAATTGACCAAAACAATATTCACATAAAACATTTAAATGATAATTTAATATTAAATAACCAATTAGTGTTCAAATTTCTAGTAAATGTTAAAAAAAATTTTAGTTTTATTTTACAACTTTTTGAAAGCTAATTTTTATTAACATACAAGTTAGTTGGCAAGGAATTTGGAGTCATGTTAAATATTTGTACTGTATGTTTCAATACTGTTTCAGATTTTTGCTTCAGAAATAAAATTCCACAAATTCCAAGTTATATTTTACTTCCTGTCTTCCTGGACACAAGAGTCCTTGGACCTGTTTTTTGGCGATGTTGTCTCTTGTTGCCTTAGCTCTGCAGGAGGCCTCTCCTCTCCCCTTTCAATGTGCTGGGTTTGAGATTTCCTGGTCTTAGTCTTCTTATCTACAAGGTTGAGGGATCTGAACATTCTGTACTGAGGAAACAGAACAGAGGGCTGGACATGGCAGAAGTCCATCTTGCCTTCATGATGGTGCTCTTACGGGATAAGTAATGCATTCACTTGGGGGTGGGTTGGAGGGGGCAGGGGTGAGGAAATTATTAATGGGATTCATCTCTACTCAGGGTGCTAATATGTTAAAAAGGAATGGCTTTGAGAACTAAGCCAATTTGTAAATTGGATGAGGTGACTTGCTTTTGAGAGCACCATTAGACAAGGGAAAGGGACTTCTGTTGACTCAATAACCCATTAACTGTATCTCCCTAAGAAGATACAGTTCAAGTAATAACAGCAGAGGAATAACCATAGTCACTGAGAGTTTTGTGCAGGTCAAATCCCGTTATGACACATTTCAGAATGTCCAAATTCCTTATTTGTCTTTTCCTACAAAGTATCAATATACAGTATACCAGATGATAGGACTTTTTTGTCCTTAACTTTCTTTGGGGGAGAAAAAGCAGAAGGATTTAATATTTGGGGGACATTTCAGCCACATTCGGCATTCTGATTAGCTGTAGCCACTTCCCCTGCTAGTGGGATGGCTGTGAGTCTGCCCGTGGCCAGTTGTCTCCATCACCCTTGGTTGCTCCTTGAGCTTCACAGCGCACGAGTGTGTATTTAGTCATGCTGTCTAAACGGTATGCTTAGCACCCGGAGTTGCTTGGCGCTTTGGGGGAAGACCAACATTAAATTAAAAGATGGAGTCCCTATGCATTAGGAACTTGCAAATGTAGGTCTGATGCACTCAGGAGAGTGCTGGAGTTTAGGGAGGAGTAAAGCTTTCATGGCACCTACTTACTCTTACTCCTCCCCTGGTCTTGCCACATCATACATCAAGCCATCAACAAAGTCCTAAAAGTATTTCTGGCATTTTCATTTTTGTAGCTTTCATTATAACGGGATTTAACCTGTAACATCTTTTCATCAGAGAAATGCAGATTACACAAATGAAAATATCATATATCCCCCACTTGTACTTTCTGTACTTCGTACACAATGTACTTAACTGTGTGTTAGAGATATTATCGAGTATGTATAGGTGCAAGTCTTTTGCAGATAGCTTCACATGGACGTAGACATTTATTTTGTTTACTTTCATATCAAGTAATCTAGAACATGTACTGTTTAAACAAAATATGCATTAAAGCTTCTGTGGAATGTTATTTCTGTGTGTAATCGATGGAGTGGTTGCTTTAAATCACTAGGTTTTTGATGGTGCTAGAGTAGCTGGTGTTGCTTAACGTGGCATTTTTTTTTCCTGTCCGCACTTTCTACCCTTGGCACAGGTATTTTTGATAAAGCTGTGGAGTGGAAAGGTATGTTTTTCATGGGATGTTTAAGAATCTCTTACCTTAAAATTTTTAAAGAGCCTCCTTTATGGCCGTCGGTGTCTGACTTTGTCAGACTAGTTTAATTGCACCAACGTGTTTCTAGGGGCGGTATTTGAGTGTAACGTTGTGACCTGACATGTAAGTTTTTGACTTTTCCCCACCCCCTAATTAAAGGTAGTATGAAGGTTTTCAAAGCACCTGGGGTGGGGGGGTTGCTTTTACAAGGTAAGATCTGCCATGAGGAAAGGATGTAGCCAGCGAGTTGCTCCTGGTATTAACAGTCCAGTTGTGTTATTGATAGAATCCTCGATACCAATAATTTGCAATTTCATTGAGGAAAGTGATGTAAAAGTATCTCTAAGTATGTTAAGATATGAAATAAGTTTAGGGACTGTATTATATCCACATGGCCCTCTTTGCTGGAGGAAGAATTGACACTGAGCCAGGGACAGCCTGACAGCAGGGCTGGGCTGGACAGCGGGAGTCGGCGGGCCTGTCCACGCAGCTCCTGTGCTGACTTCCCTGCCTGTGTGGGGCGTCCTCGGGCCCTGCCGACCACTGCTTGCTGCAGGCATGGGCACGCTCCCTGCCCTTGCAGGAAAAGAGCCTTCCTGGGGACAGCGTGGACCCAAAAGAACCAGCCAGCTAAACTGGTGAGCTGGCCTGGCCCCTTTGTCTTGAGGAGGCCTGATTGAGAGAGCGCCCCCCAGTGACTTTCCTCCAACAATGAAATTGTGAAAAGGTACTCGGGACGGTGGTGAGACACAGCTGTGTGGTCTCAGCAGCACACCCCTTTCCTTGTAAAGAAAAGCAGTGATTCCTCGGGTGTAGGTACCAGTGCTGGGCGCTGGTGGTGCATTTAGATCGTCCTGAGGGCATCGGGGGGCTGAGAAACACTCGCTAAAGTGATGTTGTGTAAACCCTGACTGTTCTGATGGTTGCAAAGTTAGTGTCTGCTCAGTGTCCCCCTCTCACCGGAAGTGTTTGCTTTTTCTCATTCATAGAGGTCCTGTAATAAGGAGGGATCCGAACAAGCTCAGAAAGAAAATGAATTTCAAGTAAGTAATTAAGTCCCTTCTGCGT